ATACAATATACCCAACAAGATATATACCCAACAAGGACCAGTGACATACTGGTACATCACTGGACTTTTAATGGTTATATCCTGGTATCATTTTTTTCAGCTGGCGATCGGCTTTCATGTAAATCAATCCTCGTGGCTAATTAGCTGCAGGATTGCTTTTACAAGCAGCGGGAGACAATGCCCCCTCTCCCCCATTGCCTTCCACTGCCTTCTTGGGCAGTCCCGTGCCATTGGAGGAACCTGAGAATGCAGCCGGTGTTTCTGCCAGCTGACCATAGAGCTGATTGGAGACCAGAATGGTGCCAATCATCTCTATAGCCTAAGAAATCAGAAGCTACGAGCATTTCATCAGGATATAAACAGCGCCATTTGTAAATTGGGAAAGCATCTGATCACACCGATCTTGGTTTGATTAGATAATATAAGGGCAGAGGAGATATCTAGAGTCTGATAGAACCCAGATTTTTGAAAAAAGATTGTATGACAAAGCCCATTGAAGTTATAGTGGATATTTGCATTCCTTGTGATAGCAATAAAAGTGATCAAAAAAAATAATTAAAGGGACAATGTAAAAATAATTTAAAAAATCAAAATAATTAGAAAAAAAAAAAGTACCCTCACCCCTCCCTGCACGCGCACACCTGCTTTAGTGAGCCTTGACATTGTGCCAGTATGGAAACAGCAGTTGCACCATGCATGGGAGGTATCGCCACGTACGTCAGATCAAGGGCAGTATTTCTTATGCTAGACTTCCTCTGTAAATCTAAAATGGTAGCTTGTAAAGGCTTTTAAAACGTTGCCTATGGATATTAAAAACGTATGCAGTTTGTCACCATTGCACGGGGCATGCACAGTTTATAGCATGTCATGTTTGGTATCTATTTAGTCGACATACCATCATCTTTTATATTTTACCAAATAATTGGCCAGTATATTGTGTTTTTGTGCATTATTGCAAAATTGCGTTCGAAAAATCGCTGCGTGAGTACTATGTGACATAAAAAATTGCAGCACCCACCATTTTATTCACTAGGGTGTTTGCTTTAAAAAATATATATAATGTTTGGGGTTTAAATTAATTTCCTAGCAAAAAATACTGATTTTTTTTTTTTTTCATGTGAACAAAAAGTGTAAGAAAAGGCTTGGTCTTCGGGTGGTTAGAAGAGTGAATGATGTGTGGCATAAACTTCTAATGCGGGGCATAAAATGCTCCCACCCCCCAAAACGACCCCTTTTTGGAAAGTAGACACCCCAAACTATTTGCTGAGAGGCATGTTGAATCAATAGAAGAATTTATTTTTTTACCACAAGTTTATGGAAAATCACAAACAAAAAATGTTTATTTTTTTTTACACAATATTGTCACTTAAATGATTTATTGCTCACACATGCCATGGGTATATGTGGAATTACTCCCCAAAATACATTCTGCTACTTTTCCTGAGTATGGGGGTACCACATGTGAGAGACGTTTTGGCAGTCTAGCCAAGTACAGGACCCCAAAATCCAATAAGCACCTTCAGGCTTTTAAAGGGCTGTATTTCCTCATTACACTTCCTGACTACCTATCACAGTTTCGGAAGCCCTGAAATGCCAGGATAGCAGCAACCTCCCCCAAATGACCACTTTTTGGAAAGTAGACACCCCAAGGAATTTAATAAGAAGCACGGTGAGTATTTTGCAGTTTTTGGAAAATGAAGAAAAAAACCAAAAACATATTTTTTCTTTTCGTTTTTTATATTTCAAAACCTTGTGAGAAAAAATGAGATCTGAAAAATACTCACCATGCCTTTTTTAAATTCCTTGGGGTGTCTACTTTCCAAAAAGGGGTCATTTGGGGGGGTTTGGTGCTATCCTGGCATTTCAGGGCCTTCGAAACTGTGATAGGTAGTGAGGAAGTGAAATGAGGAAGTTACACACCTTCAGGCTTTCAAAGTGGTCATTGGATTTCAGGCTCCTGTATGTGGCTAGGCACCCAAAAAGTCTCACACATGTGGTATCCACATACTCGGTAGAAGTAACAGAATGTATTTTAGGGTGTATTTCCACATATGTCCATGGCTTGTGCGAGAAATATATCATTTAAAATGACAACTTTGTGTAAAAAAAAAAAAAAGTTTTTTGGCACTTTCCAGAAACTTGTGGAAAAAAATAAATCTTCCATGGACTCAATATGCCTCTCAGTAGATAGCTTAGGGTGTCTACTTTCCGAAAAGGGGTTATTTGGGGGTGTTTGTACTATCCTGGTATTTTAGCACCTCAAGAAATGTGATGAGCAGTCAGAAAGTAAAAGCTGTGTAAATTCCATTATCTATACCATAGTTTGTAGATGCTTGCTATAACGTACACACAAAGCAATCAATATACACTTATTGGGATTTTTTAACCAAAAACATGTAGCAGAATACATTTTGGCTCAAATTTATGACAAAATGTTAGTTTTTTTGGATATTTTTTATGACAGAAATTAGAATTTTTAAAAAAAAAAAAAAAAAAAAAAAAAATTCTCATAATATTTTTGAAAGCTCTATTTGTGTAAAAAAAAGGACATGAATTTAATTTATGTACCGTATTACATGACCGCGCAATTGTCAGTTAAACTAGTGCAGCGCTGTATAGCAAAAAAATGGCATAAATTGCAGTATCTATACCATAGTTTGTAGACGCTATAACTTTCACACAAAGCAATCAATATACACTTATTGGGATTTTTTTTAACAAAAACATGGAGCAGAATACATTTTGGTCTAAATTTATAACTAACTTTAAGTTTACTATATATTTTTTATAGCCAAGAGTAAAAAGGATCGTTTGTCTTCAAAATATTCGGTCTTTTTTTGTTTATTGCGTGAAAAATAAAAAGCGCACAGGTGATCAAATACCACCAAAAGAAAGCTCTATTTGTGTGAAAAAAAGGCCATAAATTTCGTTAGGGTACAGCATTGCATGACCGCGCAATTATCAGTTGAATTAGTGCAGCGCCGAGTAGCAAAAAGAGGCCTGGTCATTAAGGGGGGTAAGTGCTTAAATCGTAGCGGTGTGACCGGTGACTTAGGCTTTAGCATTGATTTATGGTTGTTCCTTTTCTGGGTTGTGACACTGCTTGATTTGGTTGTGTAAGGCCTGGTTCACAACTATGCAGTTTGTATTTGATCCGTTTCCACAGTACTTTTTTTGCGGTGTGTTTTGCGTTGTTGCACAAGCATTTTGATGCGTTTTTCATTCGTTATGCTTTTTTTTTGACAATTTGTTGTAGGGCAGATTAAAGAACACAAAACACATAAAAAATGCACTACATACTTTTCTGCAGTGTCTCCATTGAAGTTTATTGAACTTGACCCTGTCCAAAAACGCAATAGCTGAAAAACGCATAAATGTGAACGTGTCCCATAGGAAACCATGTTAAATGGACTGTAGTGTGTTCCTGCAAAAAGCACAAAATAAAGTATAGGTGTGAGCCAGGCCTTAGACCTTCGGGATCACTAATCGTTGGAACTGAAATTGGAATTGTGATAAACAATGAATGCTGATGTGAAAATGCTGTTTTTTTCATATGTATATTTGAGACATCTGGAGAGAAGGTGTAGCAATCTAGTGATCTCCAGAGTGGAGGAGGGGTGCTTTTTCAGCAGAAATATTATTGTGTTTGTGTTGAGTATTTGTACTTTAACCCTTAAGTGACTGAGTTGATGAATAAGTGATGATGCTGATTCTTCACAGTCTGGCTATGAACAGCAGTCAGATTTCATCATCTATAAATCTGTGTAATACTGTATGTAATATTGATTCATTTAATGTTAAGGCTTATCATGCAGTTTTCCTGTCTTTGTAAAACATGTAGTACACTTACGGTCTGCAAGATCTATGCACTGAGCACCTAGAAAAGGGAAAAAAAAAAAAGAAGGAAGAGTCAAAGGCTGTATTGTAAAGTGATGTATACAATAAACTATACATATATAAGTACATATATACACTGACATACACACACACTTTGTATATTTGTGGCTGTATATGCAAATAACATAAAGAAACAACTGGCATTGTATTTTTTCATGTTATCTTGTATTTATGTCAAAACTATAGTCAATCACAGTTTATTTAAAATTGGAATGTGATCTGTGTACAATCTGCCTTTCAGGCCTTTTGTGTGAACAAAATATCTCCCAAACTTTCTTCCATACTCTAAAGCCGACCTGCAGGCTGAACAAAAAACGTCTAACAGATCTCTCCATCCACACATGAATGAAGCTGCTGCTGTCGTTCTAGTAATTTGACAGCCAGTTTCACCAGCTGTCAAAATATCTGGGCAGCAGCTGCATCTGGGTGGATGCAGTTGCTGTTCCACTGTCAATTCTCTGCCCAGCTCCTTCAATTTTTCAATCGATGGATGTTAGGCAGGAGGTGGCTAAAAGGGCCATCCACTGATTGAAATAATAGAAAAAAACTTTCTGTGCTGCTATAGGTATAGATAGGACTATTGAAAAAAGCTGCAAACACCTAGACCTAGACGACTAGCATAAGGAAACAAAAATAAAATGGTGTTGCGCTAATATTAATAGTACTAAGGACACAATAATTCGAAGAGTGGGGAGACAGAAAAAATAACCCCAAAACAAAGGTGATAAGTATAAAGGCTTGAATCCAGACCTAATTAGGTGCAATATGAACTGTGGCAAAGACAACGTGAGTAATAATCAGCAAGTGAACATAAATAATACATAAAACTGTAAAGGCCTGAACCCAGACCAAACTAAGTGCAATATAGATACAACATGAACAATAGTCACCAAGTGAACATAAATAATGTATTATGTATTATGTACTAATGAGGTGGTACAGACAGGTGGGACTGATAGGCGGCACTGATAGGCGGCACTGATGAGCTGGCACTGATGAGCTGGCACTGATGATGGGTACTGATAGTCGGCACTGATAGGCAGCACTGACTGGCGCAACTCCTGGGCACTGACTGGCGACACTGCTGGGCAGCACTGACTGACGGCACTGCTGGGCTGCACTGATGGGCACTTGTGGGTGGCACTGGTGGGCACTGATGGGCACAGGTGGGTGACACTGCTGGACACAAGTGGGTGGCACTGCTGAGCACAGGTGGACAGCACTGCTGGGCACAGGTGGGTGGCACTGCTGGGCACAGGTGGGCGGAACTGGTGGGTGACACTGCTGGGCTCCGATCATCAGGGCACTGATCATCAGTGCCCTGATTATCGGTGCCAATCCCTACTCTGACAACTGCTGGTTCTCGGCAGTACTTTCCTCACGCTCGGGGATCGGCGTGTCATTGGACACAGCTGATCACGTGGTAAAAGGCCGCTGTGATTGGCCTTTTACCACATCACATGATCAGCTGTGTTCGTAGGACACAGCGATCATGGAGATCGCTGGGTGCACGCCCCTGGGGGCTTGCAGGAGAGCGCGTTCTGGGAGGACATCATATGACAGCCTCTTAAAACTAGCCGGCCGCAGTGCAGCCATCATTCAGCTATCTGCGGTCGGCAACTAGATAAGTACCTGTAATAAATAAATACTCATCTTTCCTTTGGATAGAATAGGCTTACAATAGGGGTAGGAGTAGATTTAGGTATAGTTAGCTTTTGACTGAACTTCCACTTTAAGCATTTCTTCATGAGTTAAATAATAGAGCCCAAATTGCCAAAAGGTTTCAGTGCTGGTCTTATTCTTATAAAGGTAAAAGTTAACAGAATTAGAAGAAAACCTTAATAAACCTGAAAGATGCAGACTAGTGCTTGCCCACTGGAGGACTAACCCCCCCACCTTATTCCAAAAACAGTTCTTTTGTGGTCATTTATAGAGAATGTCTACTTAGAGAAGTGATGTTCATGTAGCTTAGTAAATAAAGCAAACTGAATACCCAATCATGTGTAAAGGAAGGAAAATACCAGGTTTTCCTTACACAGAGTAGGATGGTTGGGGTGAATGCAGTTTCCATTTATTCGCTATGATAAGGGAACATTTACTTTGCCAGGTGCTCTTTTAGTAAAACAACCCATCGGCTGGAATTCAAACATAAAGGAACTGAGGAAATGTTGGCAATACAAATAATGAGTGAGAGTATCGCTGGTCATTTGCATCACTACATAACCATTACATTACAGTCTGTAGGCACACAACCTTACGTGTCCAAAGCAACATCCCTCTGCTAATATCACCTCTTTTACACACAATATTTTTTAGCAAATGACTGATCCCTGTCTTAGAATATTGTGACAATGTGTAATAGTATAAATCCATGTAAAATTACCTTTAGGTAGAGGACTGCATTTTCCTCTGATAATGGAAACATTCTGCTTGATAATTATACAGGGAAAGGCCCCTCTTTACTTTGCCACCTATAGCACAGGCCTAGTGTGCCCATTGCATCCACCTCTTGCACCCAATTTACATAAAGAAGAGACCCACTGCTGTAACTACTGAATTGGATCATGGGAACAAAAGAGTGCCAATTAGTTCTAGATTCTATAGCTGTAGTGGTGCTTTAATAGGGTGAAATTCAATACATTCTGCACAGTTTCAGCAAAGCTGGAGATACACAAGTTTTATATTAAATATTAAAATGATTCTGTATGGGTGAGGGATATACTGAAACTAAATTATCTGTACAGATACGGAAAGTCAAGCTGTAATAATCATAAATACAGTACTAGTGTAGGAATTGTTTAGTATTGACTTATTAATTGTAATTTGCAGCAACTTACCTGCATACTCCATAAGAACAGCCAACGCAATGATAAAGTATATCTTCATTTGTGCAAGTATCGGGTGTGCTCCTGAATATGAGATGAATACCTTATCAGACCAAAACCCAAAAATGCAGAAATCTTCACTTACAGCTGGCTTTATAGATGAGGGGTGGGAGCAAATGACAAAGTAGGCCAAATAATCAGCGATTGCAAACAGTAATATGATGCAAAAACTCCAGGGCTGTTCTAATTGGCCAGGACTGACTTACATTTTTAACTTGTTTGGTAGCAATTTCACGTCAGTAAGATGTAAATTTAACAACAGTCGTCAGTTCATGGGAATGTACAAGGCATACAATTTATAACATAGGAATGTTACTGATCAGACCTAGTGCCACTGTTCACACGTCAGAGAGAACTACCTTACCCCCAGGTCACACTGCTAGCATAACCCACACTTTTTATAGCACTGTGCATCTCTGGAAATTTTCTGTATTTTTACCAAGTCTTATGAAAAAATATATAACATTTTTAAATCATATTTAGCTGCTTATAACACTAGAAGGCTTATTTAAAGTTGTTGGACAAAGTAGGTGGTTCAGACTGGGAGTCTGAGATTCCAAGGTCTGCCCACTACAGCAAGCTGGGTTGCAAACAGGGGGAGGACTGACCATTTGGAAACTTGGGCACTGCCCAAGGGCCCGGGGTCAGTAGGGGGCCCCATGAGATGCCTCTGGTACCTTTTTCATAGGCTTTTTTGAGTTTGGGCAAGGACACAGGGGCCCCATGATCCCCTATTGCCCGGGGGCCCCATGAGTTGTCAGTCCACCCCTGGTTGCAAAGTAAGGAAGTTATAAGGCTGGTGGGATAAAGGACATAGTGGTCACAGTTTTTTGTAAACTTATTTTAGGGGGTTTTACATTGGGTAAAGTATGGATTTCTCTCAGCCTGAACTTTCATGCATACAATCAAGAACAAAATCATTAGAAGGACAGACACTGTTACACATTTTCAATAACATTTCTACCCAGAGTATAGCTATCTGGTGATCCTGCCTTGAATGTGCTTGTTCAGGCACTTCCTGTTATCAGGTGACAACTGTCTCATAGTAGTGCTCTGTGTTGTCACCCTGGGACATGCACTTCTAGTGAAGACTGAAAGTTGCAATGCGGACTCACTTTATGCAGTCATGGTCCATTGTTGTCACTTTTAGGATGTCAGTCCAGACCAATTATGTGATCTATGCCGTCCTGCATATAAGCTGGAATACAGCAGCTCCATGCTGCTTCCTGTGATGATGGGGACACCATCCATCCTAGCTTTTATGCAGGATTGTGCCAATCAAGCAGAATACTAATTCTTGGCCAAGCTTTGCAGAAGCAGCAGTTGCCTTAAAGGTATGTAATTCTAAGGAAGTGTAATTTCTCTGCCCTGCGGTGTCATTTGTTAACTATTGGGGCCCTTTCATTGCACTGCAAATTTTACTGTAAAGATGATCTAACCAAAAATGGAGTGTTTTCCTTCCATAGGAACAACTTCATTGAATGTTTCATGAAAGTGGTAATGCACCACAGTCCTTCACATTGTCAGATATTATCTAGTTGCATTGCGTCTGAAAATTCTGTAAAAAATCTTTGTAGCTATGAATATTTTGTCAGCGATTCTGAGTAAATACCCCTTCCCATGCAGTGCAGTGACTGGTGTTTTTCTGCCCTGGAAGAATGCCAGTCACTGCAGGGACACATAGAAACAATTGCATTCTATGTGCCTTGTCTGCACAACAATACAGCCCGGAGATGCAATGCAGTGAGCTGCAATGAAAATGTAGACATGCTGCATTTTATTGCAGCTCATAGGAAGGCACTGCATGCGGTAGCACAGCAAGGTGGTGCATTGTGCCAAGCTGTTGTTATGACATGAATGAAGTGTCACTTTGCTCACTTCAAATAAAGTTGAAAAAAACAAAAAGGAACTGTGTAATGTGCAGAAACACAACACACCGCCCCTTCACTGTGGCTCACTGCAGCCAAAACTGACAACTGCCCGCACTCTAAAGCTTAGCTGTAGCTATTAATTGCATAACATTATGGGGTCTGCTTATGAAAGTGCACAGAGTAAATTTATTTCACCCTTTCTCTGCAATGTGGATGTTGAGGTGCAAAGCATCTGTACATAGTTAGGCTGAAAAAAGACAAAAGTCCATCCAGTTCAACCATAGAAAAAAAAAAAGTTATAATCCTATACCCACAGTTGATCCAGAGGAAGGCAAAAAAACCCAGCAAAGCATGATCCAATTTGCTCCTGCTGGGAAAAAAAATTCCTTCCTGATCCCCCGAGAGGCAACCGGATATTCCCTGGATCAACTTTACGTATAAATGTTAGTATCCAGTTATATTCTGTGTATCTAAGAAATAATCCAGTCCTTTTTTAAAGCAATCCACAGAGCTGGCCAGAACCAACTCTTGAGGGAGTCTATTCCACATTTTCACAGCTCTCACTGTGAAGAAACCTTTCCGTGTTTGGAGATTAAATTTCTTCAGACCTCCAGACGTAAAGAGTGCCCCCTTGTCCTCTGTGTTGACCTCAGGGTGAATAGCTCTACACCGAGTTCACTATATGAACCCCTGATGTATTTATACATGTTGATCATATCCCCCCTTAATCTCCTCTACTTAAGAGAGAATAAATTCAGTTCCTCTAATCTTTCCTCATAGCTGAGCTTCTCCATGCCTCTTATCAGTTTGGTTGCCTTCTTCTGCACTTTCTCCAGTTCCCCAATGTTCTTTTTGTGAATTGGTGCCCAAAACTGAACTGCATATTCCAGATGAGGTATTACTAATGATTTGTACAGGGGTAATATGATATTTCTCTGGAGTCTATACCTCTTTTAATACAAGAGAGGATTTTTCTCGCTTTAGAAACCGCAGCTTGGCATTGCATGCCATTATTAAGCTTGTGATCTACCAGAACCCCCAGATCCTTCTCCACCATTGATTCCCCCAGTTGCACTCCCCCTAGTATGTATGATGAATGCATATTCTTAACCCCCAAGTGCATAACCTTACATTTCAACATTAAACCTCATTTGCCACATAGTTGCCCAATTAAACAGTGCATTGAGGTCGGCTTGTAAGTTGAAGACATCCTGTAAGGATGTTATTCCACTCCACAGCTTGGTGTCATCTGCAAAGACTGAAATTGGATTGTTAATCTCAGACCCTATATTGTTTATAAAAATATTAAAAAGTAAGGGTCCCGACATTGAACCTTGGGGTACACCACTGATGACCCTAGACCAGTGGTGGGCAACCTTTTTTTTCAACTGAGCCAAATCTCGCCAAAAC